GCTCTTCTTCGCCTCCGAACCCTCGCCCTCAGCGGGTGGCCTGCTGCCCCGCCTGCCTCCTCCTCCCCACTCCAAAGTCTCCCTGGATCTCCGACAGGCACCCCCGGGCTCTTCCGGTCCTACTGACGGGGGCCCGGACGGCTCGGCGTTCGGAGAGGGCTGGCCACTGGATGGTGACCCCGAGAAGAGAATCGCCAAGGAGGATACCCACCTGTCCAGGGCGGCCAGCATGCCAGGAGTGACGTGCTCACACTGCGGGGTCTTTGCCAGAGGAGAGAGGGCAGACGAGGGAGTGATGGGGTGGGTCTCTCTCAGCTGGAAGATATCTTCCCTCGGGAGGGTGCGGAACTGCGGCAACTGCAGATCACACATCCTGGTCATTCGCAGCAGGGCAACGCTCCCTCCCTCCCTGCCTGCCTCCCACCCGACCCAGGAAGGGAAGGCTTCTCCCCGGCTGCCTGTCTTCATCAGGAATACAAGGGCTGGGGGGGGAAGGGGGGGCTGCTGATTGACAGGACTGACGTGTCCTCAGAGAACACAGCTGACGGTAGCAGCACGTTTCGCTTTGAGGCCTCGGAGAGAGAGGCATGTGTGGGGTCGCTTGGATAGGGGCTAAACTCTCCCGTTTGCCCTCTGGAAAGGAACAGCCACACGAGCAGGCCGAGGACTGGAAGACCTTGTGGGAAGAGAATCCAGGGCGGGAAGGGCAGCTGGGGGCAGGAGGAGAGGTCTGAGCGGAGGGCATCTCTCCCAGAAGACCCCTGGGGCTCCAAGCTGGCTCCAGCATGGGAGAGCCCCCGCAGGAACAAAGGACCCACAGGCGCTGGCTTGGCCATTGCTTTCCCCGCTGCTCGTGCCCACAGCGATCTGCCAGTCCCAGCCCAGGACACCACCCAAGCCACAGCGCCCCCCCCCCCTGGAGAGCAGTGGCCAAGATCCTATTGGCTGCCCGGGAGTCCCCGGGGAGAGCTAGAAAAGTGGCGGCGGGGAAGCAGCGGGCTCCGGCTGCCCTCACACCTCCCTTCCCCCGCCCCGCCCGTGGTCACCAAGGCTCCCTTCTAAGCGGCGGAGAGTCTCGTGAGCAAAGATTCTGCTTTGTGAGCGGCTGGCATTAGAGCCGTGAGCCAGCCATTGGGCTGCTGCGTAAATGAGTGCGCTCTGGAGCCGTCCTTCCTGAGCTCAGGCAAAAAGGTGTGAGCCGGAGGCTAAAAAAACTGTGAGCTAGCTCACGCTCACTCAGCTCAGAGGGAACACTGGTGGTCACCACAACCCAGCTCTGGAGATAACAGGAGCCTGTTTCCAACACGAAGGTTCTGAGAACATCTGAAGCTCAGCACCAGGTCAGGAAGGAAACCCCCCCACCCCCCACCAACACCCACCCAAGGCCAAGCAAACGTTTGGTTCTATGCGACAGGACGAGACCCCTTCCGTCTTTACTTGTGTGTTTCTGTTCTGAAAGGGTGTCGCCGTGAAGACGTCCTCGTGGTTGTCCTTGGGCATCTGCTCCAGGAAGTCCCGCATCTGCTTCTTCCGCTTAAGGGTCCCCACCTTGGCATCGATCACGGGCGGCTTCTGCACTCTCTCTGCCAACGAGCCGGACAGAGGGACACGGCGGTCAGCTAAGGACTCGGCCCGCCCGAGTCACAGAATCAGAGGGCTGGAAGGGACCTCCGGGGTCATCTAGTCCAACCCCCCCCGGCACAGTGCAGGAAACCCACAAATACCTCCCCCCCCACACACACACACAACCCCAGTGACCCCTGCTCCATGCCCAGAAGAGGGCAAAAACCCCCCCCCCCCAGGATCCCTGGCCCAACGGGAAAGTCATGTTTGTAATGACAGGCTCACAGCCAAAAGTCACAGGACGCCCCAGGATGAGCCCGGCATCTGCCATGGCAGAAAAGGGCAACTCGGATGATAAAAGGGTTGGAACACTTTCCCTATGAGGAAAGGTTAAGGCGCTTAGGGCTCTTTAGCTTGGAGAAACGACGACTGAGGGGTGACATGATCGAGGTTGACAAGATTATGCATGGGATAGAGCAGGTAGAGAAAGAGGTACTTTTCTCCCTTTCTCACAGTACAAGAGTGTGACACAGAGTGTTGGACTGGATGGGCCACTGGCCTGATCCAACACTGGCTTCTCTCACATTCTTATAAGAGGGAATTGGATAAGCATATGGAGCAGAGATCCATCAGTTGCTATTAGCCACAAGGTATAGAGAGGATCTTTCGGTCTGGGGCAAGGGATGCTCTGTATTTCTGGTGCTTTTTTGGGGGGGGGGGGGGGCACAGTGGGAGGGCTTCTAGTGTCCTGGCCCCACTGCTGGACCTCCTGAGGGCCCCTGGTATTTCTGGCCACTGTGTGACACAGAGTGTTGGACTGGATGGGCCACTGGCCTGATCCAACACTGGCTTCTCTTATGTTCTTATGTTAAATCGCCGGCTCCAATGCTCCCTCTAAGCTGTGGAGTATTGTGAGCAAAAATTCCACTCTGTGAGCTACTGGCATTAAAGTTGTGAGCGAGTAATTTGGCCACTGCATAAATGAGTTTGCCCTGGAGCCACCCTTCTTGATCTAAAATCTGTGAGCTGGAGGCTAAAAAACGGTGAGCTAGCTCACACTAACTCAACTTAGAGGCAACACTGGTCAGGGCCAATGCTCCCTCTAAGCTGTGGAGTCTTGTGAGCAAAAATTCCACTCTGTGAGCTACTGGCATTAACGTTGTGAGCGAGCGATTTGGCCGCTGCATAAATCAGTTTGCCCTGGAGCCTCCCTTCCTGAGCTAAGACAAAAATCTGTGAGCTGGAGGTTAAAAAATGGTGAGCTAGCTCACACTAACTCAGCTTAGAGGGAACACTGCCTGGCTCAGATGTGTGTGTGTTTTTTTTTTAAATTAAGATTTTTTTTCTCTTTTTTCCCCCCCCCCCCCCCGCATCACCGGCTTAACCAGCAACATGAAAGCAATTTTTTTTAATTGATATCTCCTTACAGTTAACAGGTTCATAAAATGATCTCTCTCTCTCTCAACAGGTGACCACACAGACTGCCCTAGCTGCCTGCTGCGGCTCCATTTCGCTTTCCGCAGCCGTTCAGCTCACAGCTTCCTCAACTATCACACACTGAAGAATCCGTTTTCTAGGTCCCCATGCACGATTCTCCACGCACGATTCACATCCCCTCTCCTGGTTCCTGGAGGTAAAGCCCCAAGGAGGCCCACTGGGGGCTCCAGGCTCCAGGGGAGGGTCGATCGGATGGAGGGCTCCGAGCCCTGTACCTTCTGCTCCTCCCTTCCTGGTCCGGGCGGTCTTCCTCGGGGCCCGCTTCCTGCCTTCCAGCTCCGCCATGTACCTTTCCTGGCACTCCTCGGCGGGTCGTGACCCCACGGCCTCCGCGACACACAGCCAGAACCCGCCCATGTGTTTGGGGAGAGCGGCCACGGCCCTGCAAGACAGGAGAGCGGTGTGAGACTCAAGGCGGCTGTTGGACTCTCCTGCCGACAGCGTCCGAGGCACTGGCCGGGACCCTGCAGAAGCCCACGACGTGCAGAGGATAGGCCGATGTGCCGGGAAGAGATCAGGAGGTTTCCGTCCAGCAGGGAGGTGGGGTGGGAGGGAGTCCTAACAGAGAGGCCCCCGTGTCTGGGGAAGACTTAGGGCTCTTGCGCTGGAGGAGGAGGAGCCCCCGCAGCGGCTGCAGCCCTCAGTCCCGAGCCCCCCGGACCCGCCCTCCTTGCCTGTGCAGCTTCTGCAGCTCCTCCTCTGTCCAGACCTCGCTGCTGTCTGCCTCCCCTCCTCGCCTCTTCTCGGGCAGCCTTCCTGCCGCGGCCTTTGCTCGGCTGGGAGCGGCTCTGTTGACCCTCTGGCCAGCAGCCTTTAACGCCTTCCTTTTAAATCTAGAATCTCCCGGGCTAGATTCACACTCCGATTCTGATTCCAGGATGTATGTCTTCGGGCACTGTTGGCTCCCTTGGCGCAACCGCTGTCTGTTCTGCCGCTGGATCCCAGGAGGACCGTTAGGCGCCCTGGGAGGAGGAGAGGGGCTCTCTGGCTCACCGTTCTGACGGGACGGCCCGGCCCTCCCGGGTCTGCTTTGCCAGGCGGGGCCGGAAGGGTCTCCCGTCCTCTCCAGCGCAGGGGGCGGCTTCTTCGTATCGCTTGGCTGCTTTTGGTCAGACACCAACTTTATGTCGGGGGCCTCTCTCCTGAAAGAGGGCCAGGTTTTCCTCTTGATCCTCGGGGAATCTTTGCTCGATTCGTTGTCCTCTGCAGAAGAGCTTTCTGGTCCGCGTCCGTTTGGGCGGGTCGGCTCCCTGTCCGAGCTCGTCCTGCACCCGTTCGTCTCCCTCCCCTCCTTGGACGCGTCTTGCTCAGCGGCACGCTTCCTCTGGGGCCAGCGGCTCTTTCCAGACAGCTGCTTATAGTTCAGTGGGGTCAAGGTAACGACAGCCTGTTTCCTGCAGAGGTCCTCGGGGGAAAGTCCCTGGTTGCTTCCTTCAGAGTCCGAGACAAAACGCCGTGGCGGCTTTTCCTTGCCTCCGGGCTCCACTTCTTTTTGGATGCTCTGGGGTCTTTTACTGGCTCCTCCTGGAAACGAAAAAGAGTGGCCGTCCGTCAACTGGCATCATCTCAGACTGGGACCAACGTGGCACATGGGGTTCGATCTGGCCCAGTGCAAAGGGATGCACATCGGAGCCAAAAACCCTAACTTATAAATACACGTTGATGGGGTCCGAACGGGCAGAGACTGACCAAGAGAGAGATCTTGGAGTCGTAGTACATAACTGCAATAAAAAAGGCCAACGCTATGCTGGGGATTATTAGGAAGGGAATTGTAAACAAAACAGCCAGTATCATCGTGTCCCTGTATAAATCGATGGTGCGACCTCATTTGGAGTCCTGTATACAGTTCTGGTCACCACACCTCAAAAAGGATGTTATAGCTTTGGGGAAAGTGCAGAAAAGGGCAACTAGAATGATAAAAGGGTTGGAACACTTTCCCTGTGAAGAAAGGTTAAAACGCTTGGGGCTCTTTAGCTTGGAGAAACAACGGCTGAGGGGTGACATGATCGAGGTTTACAAGATTATGAATGGGCTGGAGCAGGTCAAGAAAGAAGGACTTTTCTCCCTTTCTCACAATACAAGAACTCGGGGGCACTCCATGAAATTGCCGAGCACTCTGGTTAGAAGAGATAAAAGGAAGTCCTTCTTCACCCAAAGAGTACTGAACACATGGAATTCACTGCCACAGAAGGTGGTGGCGGCTACAAGCATGGACGGCTTCAAGAGGGAATTGGATAAGCAGATGGAGCAGAGGTCCATCAGTGGCTATTAGCCACAAGGGATAGATGGGAACTCTCAGTCTGGGGCAAGTGATGCTCTGTATTCTTG